GTGAAAACCTCCCATAACCAGAGGAGCAAGTTAGCCCTTTGGGTCTCGGGTTAAAAAATGACCTAAGGTGGTGAAGAGTGGTGATTTTCCAGAGATAAAGTCTCCCGTGTGCTCTGTACAGCTTTTTAGCTGCAAGTTCCCTGAGTGTAACTCTTCATCTAATTTCAAAGTCCAGTTATCTCCAAAGTCCATTTACTGGCTCACCTTTGAGAGGAATAGTTTGTTGAAATGGCGTATCTGTCATTCAGGGCCTTCAGCTCTCCCCCCCCCCCAAATCAAACAGCTGTCTTATAATGTTAAGTTTCCAGAGTGGTTGGATTTTGAACTAAAAGAAAATTAGAGAAGGGAGAGAGAAGTAGCTCTAAAAGATCTCCTTTATGGCAGTTATTTCTCGTTGTAGTAGAAATATGGAAACATGGTGTGTATCACACAGGTTTTTGAGTCCATGACCTCTGAGAGAGGTTTGGTTTATTAAAATAATAATGATGAGATGTAGGCTCCTCTGTTGTGAGAATGTTGCTCCTTCTCAGTGTATTAGCAGCCAGGCCTGGAAGCGTATCTGGTGGGGATGGTGTAAAGAGTCTGGGGTAATGACCACTGATAAGAGAAGGGTAAACATAGGAATTTACTCGGCAATTCTTGTTTATTTTCAGGTGCAGTGTATATTGACCAGTACTGCAATCCTCTCTCCGACATCAGCCTCAAAGACATCCAGGCCCAGATTGACAGCATCGTAGAGCTTGTTTGCAAAACCCTCCGGGGCATAAACAGTCGCCACCCCAGCTTGGCCTTCAAGGCAGGTGTGGAATTGCTTTGGATCCACCTGTGTTTGCAAAAGAAAACCTAGAGTAATTGGTTAATTTGGGAAATTCTGCAGTGCGTTCCCATTGTGTCTCAGAAAAGGGATGGGTGACAACCACATGTTCACCTGGACGATCTAAGAGACTTCCAGTACATGTTCTCTCCTCCAGCCTGGGTTGGCAGCACCTGAGGAGCATTGTGGGGACGTTGCCAGGGTCTGCATGCTGAGGGCTGTTGGGGACACGGGTCACAACCTTACTTGTGCTTGTGTCCTCAGAGTAGGGCTCTGTGTTTCAGGTGAGTCCTCCATGATAATGGAAATAGAACTCCAGAGCCAGGTGCTGGATGCCATGAACTACGTCCTTTACGACCAGCTGAAGTTCAAGGGGAACCGAATGGATTACTATAATGCCCTAAACTTATATATGCATCAGGTAAATATGAGTATGTTAGGAAATACAATACATGTATATTAAGCTCATCTCTGGTAAGTAGTACAGTTTGAGGGCAAGTATTAGATCTGTTCCTTTCTCAGTGCCCAGTGAAACTCATTGTTGCCTCTACCATGAGGATATCGCTGTGGATTTTATCTGCTTTATCACATAGCGTCCTGTGTCTGAAAACCCTTGAGATAAGTTCTTGGTTAGAAATAGGTGTTTCTCTGACTCAGTGTGATCAGTTTGTCTTATAAACACTGAACTGTGAGACTAATCAGGTCTGTCTTTATACATTGGCCTCTAGGAAGATGGGAGGATGTCTGTGGCCAGGCACGCTGTTGATGCTTAACTGCTGTTTGCTTCCTGCTTGGCTCCATTTTCACATCTATCCTGTTGCTCTCCATGAGACTTGTATTGTCTTTTGTCATATCTTCTACACTTTCCTTGAAATGGCCTTCAGTTCCTCTTGGAAGAAGGCGGGCCCTCAGTCAGAAGTCTGCAGACTTCTTCTGTGAAGGACCAGGCAGTGATTTCTCCTGGCTCTGTAGGCCTTGTGCCCTCAGTGCTCGCCGCTCGGTTCTGTTGTTGTCATGTGAAAGGAGGCCGAGACCGTACAGTAACAAAGGAGTGTGGCTGTGTTCCAGTAAACTTTATATGTGGACATGGATGTTTATATTTCATACAGTTTTCACATTTCATGAAGTAGTATTCTTTCAATTTTTTTAAAACATTAGGAATAAACTCTTCTTACTCAGGCCATCCAAAAACAGGTGGTGGCCCCGATCTGGCCCATGGTCTCTAGTCCACAGAGCCCTGATCTAAATAAATAGAATGTTTATCCATTTCAGCTCAAAACCTATCCTCCAGATGCACAGTAGGTGCTTGTCAAGAAGGTGTGTGGAAGGGATGAGAAGGTGTGGGTCATCTCTGTGGAGCTAAAGCCTTTTCTTCTCCTCCAGGTTTTGATCCGCAGAACAGGAATCCCAATCAGCATGTCTCTGCTCTACTTGACAGTTGCCCGGCAGCTGGGGGTCCCCCTGGAACCTGTCAACTTCCCCAGTCACTTCTTGTTAAGGTGGTGCCAAGGTGCTGAAGGGTGAGCCATCTGTGACATTTTGTGATTGTCCTATGGATTGACTCCTGCTGTGCTGAGAGGAAGTGTAACTAAACAGGTTAAAAAGAGGACCAGGGTGGTGATGGAGCTGGTTTGTCTCTTGACTGTATCCGTGTCAGTGATCTCCTTGTGGGAGAAGGGCACTCTGATTCTTTCTGTCTTCTTTCTTAAAACTGCATGTAACTCTCCCATCATCTCAGAGTGAAACATTTAATTTTACAAAACAGGACCAAGAGTTCAGGGTCTTATGTGAACCTCAGACTCCCTTTGTTCCACAGCAAATCAGTACAGGAAGTTCTTGAAGAAACTTCCTTTCCAGTCCTCCATAAAATCTCCCCTAGCCCCCGTTCCCACAGAAGGGAGGGGGAGGGAGGAGGGGAGGGAACGAGGCAACCAAGTTCTTCAACCAAGGTCTTCATTCGTGTGCAAATGTTCAAGTTGTCAGAGATGCTCCTTTTAGGGAGGGATGGAGACTGATGTGCATTTTGTAGACCAGGGCGAGTTCTATTTTGTTCTCTTTTAAACCTGGTGTCCTATTGGACATGAAACTCCTTTTTAGCTATAGTCTAGCTTTTCTGAAAGAGTAGTTCCTCATGTAGGTAAAGATATTTTTTAAAGTGCCATCTAGAGAAAAAAGAAACAAAGCTGTTTGATTACATCCTGTTATTTGAAACTACTTGCTAATGACCAGCTGTGGTACCCTTTGGTGAGGTGATGAGCTGTATAACAGAAAGTAGCTGAGCTTTGAAGTTAGCCTGGGTTCAGACCTCGGCTTCCTCTGAGCCTCAGTTTCCTCCTCTGTAAAATGGGCTAATGTGTTTCATAAAGTGGTTTGGAGGGTTAAATGAGAGAACCTAGTGCTTTACACACCTGGTGGAATTTCTTTTTTTTTTTTTTTTTTTTTTTTGGTGGAATTTCTGATGCTGGTCTTTTTCCACCTCTGAGGTGAAGAAATAAAACACGTGTGTTAAGGCGAGCCTCCTCGGTGTTCCTACTTAGCCCTTTCTCCCTCCTCTCCTCTCTAGAGGTATCTGCCAGTTAGTTTGAAGGTATTTGTTATTTCCATGCAAATTTTATAGTTTATTACATATGTATGTTTCTTTAAATAGTAAATACAGGCTTCCTTTGTTTTCCAAATATAATGTGTTCCTTAAAATGTACTGGATGGTTTCTCTTTTGAATAGCAAACACCCCTTTTCCATTATTTCAAATGGGAAAACTGCTTTTTCAGCGCATTCCTCTCCCTGAATAACCTAACCAATTTTCCCAAATATTCATAAAATATTCTTAAATGCTTATATAATAGTCCACTGAGGATTTCTGCACAATATAGAACATTTAAAATAACCAATTATCATATTATTTACCCAGTGACTTACTGCTGGGCACATTTGTGTGTGGTAGCAGGAGCATTTTCTCTTCTTAGGCTGCAGTGTGCATACAGTACAATCCAGACAAACAATGCAATAATTTGTTAGCACCCCCGTCCCCTGGCAGACACCAGCACTGAGACCCCTGAAGGGCTGGCCTGCGGGCAAGAGGTGGGGATGGTGCGGGAGAGCGCACAGCCCCTCAGCCAGCAGCTGGGCTGCAGGCCCTCTGCCTCCTCGCTGGGACTCTGCCCCTCAGGCCCTCTGTCTCTGTGTCTGCACCAAGACCATAGTGTCACACTGACTGTGAATTCGTCATTAGTCCAGTGGGTGGTAGAGCCGGACCCCCACTCAGAATTGCCCTGGATCCTCTGAGCCTTGTGTTCCTGTGTAGCTTTAGAGCTGCTTACAGGCTCCCTGGAAGCCCTGTGCGGACGTTAGCTGGCCCCAGAGCTTCCTTCGGACTCATGCATTCGCACGAGGAGTGTGGCCAGCGTGCCACTGCTGAGTCTGTCTGTCTGCGAACACGTCTCCCTCCACATTTAAGTTGTTTTTAATGCTCTTTAAAAGGTTTCATCATTTTCTACATCGAGCTCTTTGAGATCTTGTTAGATTTACTCCTGAGTACTTTAACTTCTTGTTGCTGTTGTAAATGGTGACCATTTAAATTATGCTTTCGAAACGGTGGTGGTATACACTTAGATCTGGGTCTGATCATCAGCGCCTCCACTGAATAAATTATTACTGCTAGTAATTGGTTGACTCTTTCAACTTTTCTGTGTAGACAGTCATATTGTCCGAATTGGGACAGTTCTGTTTCTTCTTTTCTTTTCTAGCCCTAATGTGTTTTTGTTTCTGTTACTTACTCTGCTGGCTGGGGCCTCTTGTGCAGAGTGGATAGAAACAGTGATGGCAGGGACTCTGCCTTGGGTATGACTCTAAAATTTCACCTCAGACGTGCTGTTGGGGGCCGTACCTTTCATTGAGATTATGAAAGCTGCTTGCTAAGTTCCTAATTTGCTAAGTTTTATTAATTAGGATTTTTTTCCAAAATTTCTTTTCTGTGCGTATAGATAGGATGATACAGTTTTTCTCTCTTAGTCTGCATGTGCTAAAATAGATTTTTTTTTTAGTGGTCGAATCCATTTCATTCTTGAGGTAAATTTAACTTAATCATGTGGATTTTTATAATATATTTGCTGTATTTGATTTGCTTTTATTTTATTAAGGATTTTTGCCTGTAAATTTGTGTGCATTTGTGTGCTTCTCCTAGACTCAGAAAAGGGCTGAAGAGTATTCCTTATTTCTGGAAAATTTATATCTGTTTTGCTAAAGGTGGGCTATTCATATGACTCAGAAGAAATCTGGGCTTTTTAGCATCCCGAGAGAAAATCTCTTACATGTTTTGCAGTGGGCTTAAGATGCAAGTGAAACAGTTGCTCACAACAGGCTAAAAACCACAACTCTCCCTGAAACAAAGTCTCCCCTCAATCCCTCAGAAGTCCTCACAGAGTGAGTGCAGTGTGGTAACACGGTGAGGACCTACTTCGTGTGAGCGCCGCCCCACACCGCACGCACGGGCCATCCCCTCGCGGGAGAGCGCTGGTCATGGAAAGCAGCTCCACAGAGGGGAGCAGTGGGATGGAGGCCAGGACAGCTCTCTGTGGTCTGGGGCAGGTTCCCAGCTCAGCCACAGGCGGGCTCAGCAGATCTGTACCACCCGAGTGTGTCTGCAGAACTGAGGCCAGAATACTTGTGGTTCCAGGCACTGTCACTGTCCGCGTGCCTCCCGGGCCCGGGGTCCACAGACGCTAACTATCGCTGCTCTGTGGGAGTAATGGGCCGCCTCGGGTGGTCCATAAATATTTCCACTGGACTTCTGATAGATACGCCTGGCAGTGACTTTTAGGATTAATCTCCATAAAAAACTATATTAGATGGCATAAATCAGCGCTGTTTCTTAAATGCCAGTGTGCAGCAGTCTCAACACAGCAGAGCAGGTATAAAGGTCAGATTTTAAACTTTGGACAAGGCCTTGATATTTTCACTGGAAATGCCACTGTGTTAACATTCAGCATCTGATTTGAGCTACTGATTAGGGGAGTTTTAAATATTGACTTGTTCAGCTCTAGCCTGAGATTTGGCTAACTACATATGCTCTCTGGTTAGGGCGACCCTGGACATCTTTGACTACATTTACATAGATGCTTTCGGGAAAGGCAAGCAGCTGACCGTGAAAGAATGTGAATACCTGATCGGCCAGCACGTGACTGCAGCGCTGTATGGGGTGGTGAACGTGAAGAAGGTGTTGCAGCGAATGGTGGGAAACCTTTTAAGCCTGGGAAAGCGGTAAGGTTTTCTTGGTCGTCCAGTGCTTCTGTGGAGTGTGTGTCTCTGGAGGCTCCAGTTGCCCTGCAGAGTTTTATTTAATGAGCCTCCCTGTGATGCCGAGAAGCAGCGGTGCTGTGCACAGTTGGGAAGGCTACAGTTGTCTGCCCACCACGGGAAGAAATGGTTCTGTGACACAGTGCTGTCCAGACTTAAGATATGCTAAGTGACTTTCCTTTGAGATCTTTGCAGCGGACTTGAACAAGTTCTCTTTAATAAATACTAAAAGCATTCTTCAGTAACAAGAATATTTTAGACCGACGACAATTAGTTTTCATGTCCAAGTGCTTTGTCATCTTTTAATTTATAC